TATGAACGGAAAAGTCCTAAAGGTCCTAAGGTGGTTTTGTATTTTTTTTTATGCATGTACATCACAACAACAAATAACAATTTTATTACATCCCACGTTACTTTCAATGCCCATGGGTCTCTTGCCTAATTGTCAATGCTACATTTAAGCGGCTTGTGTGTATAATGTTTTGGTTTTAACTTTTATAGACGATACTAAATTAGTTTAGAAACTAGAACAATTTGCCTCTTTTATCAGATGGCGCGGGTTTTTTTGCGTCGTCACGTATATGACGACTGCCAAAGTATTGCACTTATTACCGCAAAAACGGATACGTGGGAGAAAAAAAATTGGGTGGATTGATTGTAGAATGCCCGAGTCAACGCTCAACGATGCTGGCAAGATTTGGAATGTGGAAGATGACTCACATATGCGCCAGGTTATAAATACACACATAAGGTTCATTATATTGAATCAATAATAAACAAAACTTTCTAAAATAGCCAGACAAACTAATTGAATCGAACAAACAATGTCACGGAAGTATCTTTGTCCCGAGAACTTTTTCTCGGAACAGTGTTCGGGTACGAATGGGGACGACGTAGTACGGACAAGATTGATTTATCAGCAGAATTTGTAGGGGACTGTCACCAGCAGATCGTGTTCATAAATGGGACTCTGTTCCGTTTACTTTAAAATAAGTCGAACCTCGTTATCTCGAACTCTTTTAACTCGAAGATCCCGTTTACCTCGAAGAATCTCCGCTCCCGGCCAAATCTGTTCTTTATCTTAGTAAATAAAACTCTGATAATTCGAACCCGGAAAAGGCGAAAAACTCGGATACCTCGAAGTAAAATATTGGTTTCAATAGCGTCAATCCAACGTAGTATCCAAATTTCATTTTGTCACTTGTTAATTCTTTGATGCAAATAAAACGCAAAAGTACGACATTTCGCCATTCCGTGTTTATGAACATCTTTCGTAAGTAGACTAGCATGAAATCAGTAAAAATGAATTTACGATAAAGCTTAGGACTGTAAAGTTTACGGACTGGCAAAACCATGTTATTCATAATAAAGAAACAAAATGCATCAATGTTGATCAACAATAATCTGTACTTACTGCGAGTCCGTTTAATGATTTGTACACCTAAACAGACGACAGTGCAAACCGGAAAATTGGTCACAAAGCGTGGTCATGCATAAAAGAGTTCCACAGTTAAAATCACAACCTAGGACAGCTTTACGGGTTCATGTTTTTACTGGAGCCAGTATGGCTCTGAAAGTCGATCGAGAGATTTAAGAACAAAACGATAATTGCTGTTGATTACATCGAGTTGAGGAGTTTTCAGGTGTCATATTTGGCTTTAATGAATCAATGAGTCACATGTACGATATAATTTGTTTGTGTGTTTTCATTTACAGAATCAACTATGCGTACGCTCCATTACAGTGATTTGTTTTAGACTTGCACACTTTCATTTCCGCATTGTAAACTACGAGATCAGAGACAGCGGGATAGTTTGGTTTGAAATGTAACACTTCAGAAGTAAAACTTGACGGACTTACAAATACAAATGCAGACCTGGAAAGATTTGCCAATATCTATACTAGCCAAAAACAACATTTAATCACTAGGCCCGTCCATATTTAATAACGAATTCACAAAATGGTCCAACCGTTTTGATCGCGTTTAAAAACGAGAGTACGTTTTTCTGAAATAACTTACTCTATTTTTGTAAGCGTGTTCATTGTAAAATTACATAGCTGTATTTGGTATATTGATTACGTATATCATTTATCGATTGATTAAAAGCATTAACTATTAATAAAACCAACAACTGCTAGTGCTATGTCCCAACAGCAAATTTCATACCAAATCTATGAACCCGCATAACTCGAATACTCGGATAACTCGAAGTTTTCCCACGACCCCGTCGACTTCGAGATAACGAGGTTCGACTGTATGTTTATTTAGCAATGAACATGGTCTGAAAAGACACAAAGTAGTGGTAAATTGCACAATAATAATTAGCATGAATTACGTATAGAAACTAATCATAACATGCAATCCTCTAGTAACATTATACGGACCCGAAGTAGCTGAAAGCAGGTAAGTTGTTACTGCGAGCCTGCGTTCCTCTGTTATTGTACGGGGTCCCTGTCATTACTATATATGCTAACGACCCATCATGGATATCCTTTATATTTATCTGTGGTTTTTGTGTTACATATATGTAAACACAAACATTTCTGGCTTGTTTGTAAAGTATGTGTATTTTCGACCGACGATTTTTGTCTAACGGTACAGTTAACCATATACTTGTTTGAAATTACACGCTGTCGTAAATACATGTGTATATCCCACTGCTGTCCTTAATATTACGACGATAATTTGAAACGAAAATTCCTTATACTAAAAGGATCAGTTACTAACATTTTACACGTTTTAAATACAAACCTGAATACTCACAGTCCAGGATATCAACTTCCACATATCTTTTTCAACCTGTAACATTACTTCGTATGATCTATAATTGAACATACTTTTTATGTAAGTACTTAAATACTCATCTTTATCCCTATACTTATAATACTTATCAGAGCAGATGTATAATGTAGTGTAATTCGTTTTTTTCATACAGTATCTGTACAAAAATTAAAGTAGCAATCACTGTGCGTGTGCGTGTGTGGGTGGGTGGGTGTAGATGTGCGTGTGTGGGTGTGATGTGTTTCGTTTGTCTTTCAAAATAAAACGTGGTAGCCTTTGCTGGTAAATTTCTTAGTCTCTGAGGTTTGCAGTAACATTGATAGCCTCAATGATATCTTTTGAGTGAGTAGTACATGGCTCATAATATCCATTCTTTAATCATTGCTGAATCTGAAATTAAACTATGTACCTCTACATTTTAAAATTCATAAGATTAAGGGCTTTTACGCACCTGTTCTGCTGGTTTGATTCCTATGTTTTGGCCCCTAGCGTCTAAGAAGAACGAAACAGCTGTGTGATGTAGTGTAATTTCAGATATACTCATTATACCATAATATCATTATATCCGTTAAGATCTCTCTTAAAGATGTTATCACCTATGGGTTTGCGTTTGAGTGTTACGTTCATCTTATGACGTACATGTATGCACATTGTATTATCAAACGCAAACTTGGGCATTCTCCTATTTCCGACAGATGGTGAAGAGGTGAGAAGATACGATAGCAAAGGAAAAAGATGCGGAACGATTAGGTTCGAAACGCCCTTGCAGCCACTGACAGTATCTTGCAACGATGAATTAATAGTTGTATCAGACAAGCGGAGTTCTGAAGCTCTGATGTTTAACTACAATGGTGAAAAGCTGAGAAGTGTCCAACGGAACAAAGCTAACTGGCAGCTGGCCGATGCACACTGTTTACAGAAGGACAGGGTACTATTGGTGAATAAGCAGTCGAGCAAGGTAGTGATCCTCCAAGACGGAGAAAAATACCTTGGAGGATGGTCAACAGAACCAGAAATAACACGTCCTTTCTGTATTGACTACCATTCTGACGGCCTCTTGGTTATTGGCGGAGCTGGTGGAAATATTGCTGTGTATCAATTTCTGTGAAACAACGCAATTCACAGAAAAACATTTTGTTGAGCATCAAGCTCTACCATTGTAGGGGACACATGGTCTTATAAAGCAGATACAATGCATAAGGAAGATAAAGGCTTATTTCGATGACTAATTTCTCACTCAGCGTTTCGTAATCTATCCGTGTTTTTCTTTCATTTTTATGCATAGTTCATAGCAATAACAGATAGTTCCCCGTCTCAAACAATAGATGTATCCACACGCTTTTTTCTCCACATACAGTTATTTGCGGATGTAGTTTATTGATTGGTTGAGTGATTAATTGACTGATTAGGCTACACGTCCTTGTTCCGGTTATTACCAAGCCTATGACAAAACAGATATCGTTGGATTTTTACCCCTGAAACTTTTTAGGGATTTCGCTAGGAATAATAGAGTATTCAATATATCAATTTTATTTGAAATTTCTGTTCGCTCTGGCAACCCAAAGAGTATTTACTGTTTAGAAGAAATTCGTCAATACTATTAAATGCATATAGTCATTTTGACAAGAAAATGTGTTTGCATATCTGAAACTAAATCTAAGAGTATGGGAGGTAACTCTTCTTAGCTCGATTTAATTTGCAAACGATAAGGTACTGATAGTACCGTTTGATAAAGGTTTTCAGTTTCCTGTTTTTTATATTTAATGCTTAGCCTAGATTTGTGGCGATATATCTAGTGCGATCAGCGCGATGTTCATAGTAGCTTTTTATTTTGTTGTTAAAGCGAAAGAGTTTGTCCATTATTTAAAACAAAAAATAACAAGGGAGAAAACACTTGTTGTCTCGTACTTGATTTATGTATGTATATTATAATTAATTTTCCCCCGCTTTGCTCAGTAACAACATTTTTCCGGCGCATTTTTTCAATTACATTTGCAAGTCGCAGGATCTTTCAGTTATTTACTTTTACCCACAGATATTTATATTGTCCGTGGGGATTTTTCAGGAGAAACTTTTGTGTTTTTGTTTGTTTTCATTTTCATTGATTCGTTATCCAACCCCTGATATGTGTTAGATGCTAATAGTTTTAAGACCCTGATACTATCAGAGATATATTGTTTATTTACACTTGAATACATACATTATTATATTCCTAATGACACGTCCACGCACTAACATGTTAACGTTACAGCACACTCGGAAGGCTTGAGGTGGTGGATAACTAACATACACGTACATATGCATATACATATATACTCGTACACATGCTTAATATTATATACGTGAAAGCCTTTTTTTCATTTCAAAAATTGGTAATACATATAGGATGTGTGTTTTATAAATCTAAACACTGCTTTAGAGAGAGGACTTGTATTGGCAATGCCTAATGTCTTAATCCAATTGACTCCTTTTTTTGTTAATAAAACATGCTGAAATTGAATAAAGAAAACAATCCGTAATTCAGTCAAGATTTTAATTCTTTTTTGAAGTATCATGTGTATCTTGCTTTTTTGTTGGATATATGAATACAAGTGCTTGGTGGTCCCTGCTTGAACCACAAACAAAATGCCTCCTTCATTGTCCAGCAGACATGTACATCAGCAGCGGGAATGGCAATTTCATCGTTTATTCAATCTTTTAATTTTCCATGAAAATACAATCGACATTTGTTTTTAATATTCATTATACTTCTACATATTTACACCGTCTAGACTTTCATCGAAAATACCTAATTTATCAACATTTGTACAAACTACGTCGAACAATTAATAAACATACATAACATTTTAAAATCACACAATCACATACTATATTTGTAAAAACATATATGCGTATATATAATTCCGCATTTCACTGAACGAAGATTCAAGAAAAAATAATGGTGGAGCAGACAGGTTTCATTGAGGTCACTTCGTGGAAGTTGTCCATCCCCGTGGTCTTACGATCTAGTACATTTAATTGTAGCAGCAGTCAGACTCTGTAATGACTATGTTGAGTGGACGTAGACCGTCCATGTGGTCACCTACGGGTGTTGCAGTTATCTGTTCCTGATTGCCACTTTTTTTGAGGAACATCAGTCAACATAAGCAGTAGCTAGGTTTAGTCGTAGTAGTAGTCAGAACCGCGATGTGTGGTTCTTTAGTGGAATACCAGAGGTGAGGTCATCAGTCCACGTGGTCACTACGTGACGTAGAGGTAGAGGTCATCAGTCCCCGTGGTCACTGCGTGGCATAATAATAGTAGTCGCCCTGGCTCGAACTGAAGGTGCTGCTGATTTCCTGAACGATGGCGGAAAACTTCGGCCGTGACGACTGGTTATCCTGCCAGCATTTCTTCATTAACTCATAGTGCCTGTGTAAGACATATGTACACCCTAACATTATCAACAGAGTTATGTCCCCTTATAATGTTATGTATGCTATATGGTTTTGTTAGATTGAACAACTTTACATAAATAAATACAAGGGGGGAATGTCGTAAGAAGAGGGTTATAATAAGTAGTTCTCTTTGTGTATGTTAAAAACTAAAGACAGACTAGTTTTATTCATATTTAGAATATAAGAAAGGATAAACAATATCTTCATTCAACATGAAATGCTCTTGACTTTTGTCTATATAACATCGCAAATTATATAAGTTACCCGATACTTAACACGAATAACTTACATGTCAGCACAATATTCAGGACGGCTCATACGGTACCCATTGGTAACCTTGTTGGCCACGTCCATACTCCGTATCCCGGGATACGGTGTGTCACCTGTCAGGGCAAATGTCATTATAGTATATTCCACATGCATATAAACCCTAAATCGTTCATGGAAGATTATTTAAATGGAACTTTCGCACATACATTCTCAATTGGTCATTACTTTGGGAAAGGATTATAACAAGAACGATACAACAATCCGGTTCTATAAATTATAAACCAAATATCTATGTCTCATGGTAAAAATTAATAACTCGTTGAGCACAAAAATCGTGATATCCTGTTATCGACAAAATTCTAGCTGTTTTACTAACAAACTAAGAAAAAAAGCAGCTATCACGGGCCTTTGTTCATTAACGAGTCTAAACGGTTTGCATAAACCAAACGGTAAACAATACGGTTATAGTGGTGCCCAGTGTTCCTGTTGGCAGAATCCATACAATTTCCACATGTTAATTCCCTGCTAGTACCAAAGTGAATAGTTTTCATTTGATAATTGTATACTTCTCCCTACCCATGCGAGTTCAAGATCACATATTTGGTTAAAATGTTAACAAGATTTAATGGTAGGGATGTTCTCAAACCTCCCAGATTAAAAATATTTGTTATTAAGTATTTTTACTACACAGACTGGATATATCCCATAGGATATATTTTTACCTACTTAATATACATTTTTAATCTGATATATTGGTTTTAATCCTATCGAAGTATTTTCGAGATTGACATCCTTACATATATCTATCCATCATGAATATTTCCTACTTGGACTATACATACAAAGACAGATATACCCTACTAAACTTATTTGCTCTTCTTCATTCTTTGTATCATCTACATTAACGTCAATATTCTACCCGAACTGAATATCACATTTTTGATATTTTCAAGCATTCATAGATGGTATTGGTATCGACAATGGTTATATTTTCCACACAAATGTTTTCTCCGTGACAAACAACGCTGAACATTTTCTGCATAGCCTTAATTGACCTACCTAAACTGAATATTTCCCATATGACGATTCCATATGACCACACATCACTCTGCATTGTAGCGTCCTTCAATGACGTCATACATTCTGGAGCCATCCACTTGATTGGTACTTTTTCCTTCAATAAAATAAAGTATAGGGAGTTTTATCTATAGCTCAATTAAACATAGATGTATCATACAGATTGTTTTCAGAAGAAGAACGACTTTGTGTACAGGTGGTGTCGTTTAGCGCTAATATATTTACTAGTATATAAATAAAACAAAACACGAATACTAGCTAGTATAATGGGGCTCTTCAGGCGATTTAAATTTATTTGTGACGTCATAAACGGAGTACACATACTTAAGACGTCAAAAATAATGACGTCATAAACAAAGTACATATAATGCGGACGTCTAGAAATTGCGACGTCTTAAAAAGATTACATGAATGAACTTGCATCAAATACGTCAATGAAATATACGGAAAAAGAAACGGAGCATATTACAAATGCTCAAATGAATACATTGTTCAAGGCACAATACTTAGTTCATCCGAACATATTAAACATACGGAATTTGTAAATTCAAAAATATAAGAGCTGGTCGAAATTTCTCGCGTTCAAGCTATACTTTATGTATTCTAGTATATATATAGCACTTACCTTGCCAGTGTCAGCATCTTGTTGCTCAGTTTCCTTCGTAGGTCCAAATCCCGCAACTTTCGCTTCCAGTGACGACGTCAATAAAATATTCCTGGCAGCAAGATGGCGATGAATAATCTAGAAATAATAATATGCATCATCCATATACTACTTGTTACGTGCGAAATCTACTAGACACCTGAATACTCCATGAATTCGGGTTGTCAGAGCGGGAATGCTCAAGAAAAAAATGAGACGACTTACAAATTACTTTTTCGGTCATTAACCTGAACGACTTTCCATTATTAAAGGTACTTCGCGTGAGAAAATAATCCCTCAACAAATCATTATCAGATCAGGAAGAAAATGTTGTGAGGAAAACAAGACCTTTTAAATTGTAAATATGTAAATAGAGAGGCTAATAACAAGCAAATTAAGAACAATCTCCATATTTTATTGTTCATGGCAATCCTCCGCTTAAAACGTAATTGATTATATCGGATCTCGACAATCAGAAATATGTCGGCTGGAAGATATAGACTTAAATGCCCACTCTTTATGAGTGGCAATAATATATGGAATTAATTTATTGATGATAAATGGTTTATCTTTTTTTTTTTTCAGTTTAGTCCAGTATGGGACCCTCACACCCAAACAAATATTGACAAGTTGGAAATGGTCCAGCGAAGGGTAGCGCGCTATGTGCTCAATAAGCACAGGTACAACCATCGTGTGTCAGAAATGTTGGACCACCTAAAGCTGCGCCCTCTAGCAGATAGACGTAGAGATGCTCGTCTGACCATGCTTCATGACATTGTAAACCAGAAAGTCGCTATCGTAAAATCAGACAGATTAATCCCTACAGTTAGAAAATCCCGAACAAACCACCAGTTTTCGTATCAAATTCCCCACTCAAAATCCCAGACCAGAAAGGCATCATTCTTCCCTCGAACTATACCCGAGTGGAATAAACTCCCACCTGACATTATTTCGAGCCCCACAACGGAATTATTCAAATCAGCCCTCTACCGTCACCTTTCAAACGCAAATTAGACCATCTCGTATCTTTTAAAAACACTCTCTTTCCATGTTTCACTCATCGTCTGACATTTTATCTTCAAATTGTTGAAGTTGGTCAGTACCGTTTAGAAGTAGAAGTAGTCTGGAAAACAGTTTTCTCATAGCGCGCACGTTGGATAAAATCTCAAGTCTTCCTGCGGTTGACTTGCAATATGTTCCACCTGCTCGCGAAGAGTTAATTGTTCTCACGACAAACACTGATCTGCAATGTGTAACTTAAAAAAAGCATCCATTAACAAATTTAATTGACATTTCACAAGAAATGCAGAAATCCCTAACAAACGATTTGTTAGCTGTTTAAACATGTCTTAGTTCTTAGTATATTTTATCCATGATGTGACACAGACGAAAACACTATACAATGTACTTTGATCTGTTTATAATCAATTTTGGTATAAAGAGTTAACCCTACATTATCTATATTACTATAAACTATAGTAGCTATACTATACTGAACAAAAAAAAACCCGCACAAAGTCGCATTTTGTTGGCATTTTGATTTCGCCATTGACTCAGATGCCACGCTTAACGCAAATTCAGAGGGTAGAGCAATTGCGATGTTGATGGATGGTCATAGCTAAACTGCTGTCGCACGGCAGTTTGGTGTTGGCCCGTGTACAAGTAACCGTCTCTGTACACGTTTCCGTGCTACTGGGTTAGTTTCCGATCGTCCCAGGAGCGGTCGTCCGCGTGTAACGACCGCACGACAAGACAGGGCGATTCGATTATCGCACTTGCGCAAAAGATTCAAGACTGCTGTAGAGACTGCGTCGCATACCTTAGGTACTCATGGCAGACCCATTAGTCCTCAAACTGCCAGAAACCGCTTGCCTGTCGAGAGAATCATTGCGCGCCGACCTTATGTCGGGCCACCTCTGACACCACGGAGGCGGCAAGTGCGTCTTGAATGGATGCGCAGACATGGCCCGAATAGGTTTGGGATGCGTCGATGGAGGCGTGTGATGTTCACCGACGAGTCTAGATTATGTCTGTATCGCTCAGACGGAAACAAAGGGTATATCGCAGACGCGGTGAGCGTTTCGCCGACGAATGCGTGGTTGAACGCGATAGATTCGGTAGGGCTTCTGTAGTGGTTTGGAGAGGCATCTTCCATGGAGTAAAATCCCCCTTAGTGGTCCTGGATCAAAACCTCAATGCCGTTCGATACAAAGACCAGATCCTCCAACCACATGTCCTTCAACTTCTCAGACGTCATAACCTAATTTTCCAACAAGACAATGCTTGACCGCATGTTGCCAAAGTCTGTCGTGATTTTCTCACGGCAAACAACGTTCAGTCTCTGAAATGGCCCCCATATAGCCCCGACATGTCTCCCATTGAGCATCTGTGGGATTAGCTGGACAGGCGTATTAGGAAACGTCAAAATCCCTAACTAACCGCGCCCAGTTGATTCGCTGCATTAACACAAGAATGGAACAACATTCCCTTAAGGCGAATAAATGTTCTCATGAATTCAATGCATAGGAGAATCCGTGCAGGGATTCGTGCAAAAGGTGCCCAAACCAGGTACTGAAGTGTCATTTTGTTTTTGGCGGGTATCCAACTTTGGGTAACTACTGATGACACGAGTGACGTCACACAGACTTTTCTTCTACAGTATTGTAAAGAGTAGACTTGTCCCTTCATATTGATATAAAATTGTGTACAATTTTCTCAATAAAATATCAAAGGCTATTGATTGCATAATTTGATTGTGCGTTTTTATGCAGTAAAAAGGCTAAGAATGTTGTTTTTATCTCTGTGTATTCATGGTATCAATATTCGCTGACCCCCCCCC